TGTTTTACTGTACTTTTGATCAAATAAATGTAGCCTTGGTGAGCACATTAAGAAAATACAAAAAACTTTTGAGCAGTAGTGTAGATAAAGATTTCAATGAAAATCTGGAAATCTTCCCCTCCAGCATAATCATTTTTTGTGTTCCAGAGAAGAAATATGACATGGGGGTGAGTAAAACATCCACATAAATATGTGCATTAATGCAAATTAAGGGAATTAAGTTATACTGAAGCAGGAGTAATCTTCCCGATCTCCTGAGCAATAACCATCCCACCTGCTGAAAAAAGAAGGAAAAAATGCAAATATATGTAGAAAAAATGCATTATTGCTTAATTCTTTAACACTTCACACATAAAATCAACTTATCTCCTTGCAGTCTTGATTTATAATAGCTTAGCTTATTTTAAATATAAGAGAGACAAATTAACATTTCATCCAAAAACAGTCACTCACGCTCATAACGCTCCGTTTTGTATTTAATCATTCTTTTTTCTAAACTGGGATTGATATCTGCTATAATTTTCTGCAGAACGTCCAAATTATGTTCACCCAAAAGGTCTTCCTTCTCCATGTCCAAAAACAACTGCAACAACGTCTAAAACACATGATTGTTCATAGAAAGTTTAGTCAAACATCAAACGTCTTGTCACATGCAGAGATGTGATGTCTCTCACCGTGTCCTTCTCCAGTTTTTTGCGCGATAGTGTTTTCAACAGTAGGAATTTGATGTTTTTCAGGTCCTGCTCACAGATGGACTCTGACAGCTCGTACAACAACTGTCTGAAAAAAAAATACTTATGAGTATTACAAAGGAACTATAAAAACGTTTTAAGGTTCCTTGTAAACAGTCGCCCCAAAAAGACACTATATCAAACCTCACTGCATTAATTTCCTTGCACGTTTTTTGGATAGCAGATATTTTCCAGGTCAGCATTCTGGCCTTTGACCTGAACAAACACGTCTCTGTTAGTAACAGCTGCATCCTCACCTGTACGGGGATATTTGTTGACTGTAGGTTGTGCCGTTGGTTTGCTTATAATCATCTGAGGTCAGATCGCGGATCAGGCTGTTTCGTTTCATGATCCTGAGGAGATCAAGAAGCAGAGACGGATCCTCACGTGACAACTGGTTCCTCTTCTCCAGAAGACTGAACAACTGTCCGGCTGAGCTCACGGTGCTGAGGTCTTTCAGACTCAGCAGATCACAGCAGAGGAACACCAGGTCCTGCACCTCATCGCCAGTGAGAGACTCCTGCACTTTTAACAGCACCCGCTGAAACTCCAAGTCCATCTAGATAACACATGCATAACACTGCTGCAATAAAATTAACATTGATTTTACATACTATTTAATACAGGTGCATCTCAATAAATTAGAATGTCGCGGAAAAGTTAAT